TTTTTTAATGTAATTATTTTAATGACCCCTTTGGTAACCGTCTACTCCCACCTGTTCGTGACACCTTAAGACTTCAACCTCCTTAGAAAGGAGAAAGGAAATATATCCCAAAGTATCCTGCTGCGCACGGAGCTCAGTGAGTTTATTTCTGCCTCCCTCAAACAGAGCTCACATCAAACACGTTCAGCTTATTAATGCATTCCGTGGCAACGGCCATTTCACTTCACCGACAGCTAAATTATGAAGTCAGAGGTTAAGGATTTGCAAAAGAACGATGGTTTTCTTTCTGCCACCTCAGTAAATATAATCGAGCGCTCTGGCAAATTAAAGGTCGACCGGAAGGGTTCGTGCATTTAATATAAACAAACAGCCCAGTGGACACAGAGCCTGAATTCATCCAGACTACAGCGAATGATATCGAGTTTGATGATTGGCTGTGTGAAGCTCATTGGTTTGGACTGGCCTTCGATGATCGTCTGCATCACACGTGTGCATTCTTGACAGCACACGTGTAAACTAACTGTCACTTCCATCAGCAGAAAGAACAACAACAACGTTGTGTTCCTGTTGTTTACCTGCTTCGATGCAGTAAATCTGTAATCTGAGAACTACAGTAACTCAATAAGTACTATTTAAAGAGCTACTACTGTACTGTTCATGCCAGGGGTGTCGTTTTCCCATTTTGGTTCAGGGACCACATATAGGCCTGATTAGATGTCAGGTGGACCGCACCAGTACAATCAGAACATTACCTATAAATAATATTTTTTTCTTCTTTGTTTTCAGGCAAATAAGTACAACTTTATTATAAAATATTCATATTTAATGAAATATAAGTGTTTGTGCTTTTTTTTTTCACACTCAAAATTCATTAAGGGGGCCAGGTTTTGGCTTGCGAGCCGTATGTTTGACACCCCTGGTTTATGGTATCAGGATCAACTATCAAAATTTCTTCTTGATTAAACACATGCACTTTAAGAAAATGTTGTTTGTCTTCTTTTGTCCCAGAATTTTAGGAAAAAACATACAGTATTTCATATAATCTTTGTTACATCTGCGTTTCACATCTGATTCTCAAGTACCATTTCTACAGGTGAGCCAAATGTCAATGCTATTACAGGTTTATTAAGCTATGCTATTACGGTTAAGTGAGTGAAAAGACAAACTCTACAGATATTCTATCGCCCTTTGTTTTTGTTTTTTTGTTTGCCTACTGTATAGGCCACGACCCACCACTTGAGAATCAGAGATTTAAAATTTAAAATTTGTTCATTTAGAGGCACTTTCCCCACCAGGTTACATCTATTATTTTATAATCACAGATAGTGTGTGATAAGTAGCTACTGCTATTTGACGTGCTGCCCACCAGTATAGGCCATACCCCCCACTTGGACACAGCCTGTAGGTCAGTCCAACCTCATCAGCTTCAGCTCACTCACCTGTGTTACTGCGACTGGCTTTCCCATTTGTTTACACAGTAAAAACTTCTGCAGTTGTTTGTGAGCAACACTTCCGTCCTAGCTCTTTAGTCTGCCGGTGTTGCTCACCTCTGTGAGTTCGGTGCTCTGCTTCCTGTTGACAGTGATTCAGGTTGGAGTATTTTCTGGGGAAATCACGATCGTAATCTTTGAGGTTTGTTTGAGTGGAATAATGTCCTATTGCTGGTTGCATGATGGTGGATACGGCCAGCAGGAGCTGCCTAATAGTAACTATGGGTCATCTCTGATGTACCAGAGATTTTCAGTAAGATGCAGATGTGGACTTCCAGCAGGCCAGTCAAGCATTCGTCCATTAGCCTTGTGTAATTTGTGCAAACGAGGCCTCACGGTGTCCGGCTAGGAAAACATTGTCATCCTGGACAGATTTCTGTAACCAGGGCAACGAAGAAAGTGACAAACAACCATTTACATAAATATTGACATCCACGGTCAATGTAGGGAGTCCATTTGATCTCATTTGACATTTGCGTGTTTCAGATCACATCTGATCAGAACATGATCTTTGTGAGCGTTACTTATTA